TATACTATATATATATATATATATATATATATATATATATATATATGTATTGAAATTATATTTTTTATTTAATAAAGAATAAATATTTTTTAATAAATTAAATTAATAAATTGAATCCTTTATTAGAAATTGAATTTGTCATTCAGTTAACAATATTTAAAATATATATATATTTTATCTTATGACAGAAACGTCCAGAATTTTTTAGCGTACACTGACCTGATTAATGATAAGCATATTTAGGTGTATTTACGTGAGCTTGCATCCATATATGTACAGTTAGTCATAAAAATATTTAAGTATGTACATTTGTTTTTAGAAACTTTAGTTTGGGATGTTTAATACCAATAGAGAAAAAAATAATTAAAATCTATAATATTTTTAACAAATGCTTATTATTTTGCACTACAATAATAATTTAATTCAATGTTTGTTGAAAAATGTATCTCACGATACATCAAAATTGAAAATTTTATTACAAATTTATTAAACATGAAAATATTTCATATTTATTAACTTATATAAATAATACGAAGAAATTTGATTCAAAGATAATTTGATCAATGCAATTTGTATTTGAAAAAAAATCATTATTTTATTTCAAATAATTATGAATAATTCATCTACACATAATAATTATATAATATAGAGAAAGATATATAATTTTTTTTATTTAATAAGTTTATTAGTTTGAATATATTATTAATTAAAAAAAATTAGATAATATTGTTCTAATTATTTATATATATAAAAATATATTATATACATATATGAAAATTATATGTTAAAAAATAATACAAAATACATATGCAAATAATCAGATATTTTTGTGACGAACTGTACGTATAAGATGGTAGCTTAGAAGCACCGAGAAGGATCAATTTTATACTGTGCAAGAATAGATTGCAAAGACATAGTGAATAAAACTAGTCTAAAAATCGATAGCACACATATTCATACAAGTTCATACAAGTATTTTAAATAAGACTAAAATTCCAATCGATTTTTTACAATGTATTTAAAATAAAAAGAGCTTAGTTTAAAGAAATCAATACTATTTCAATATTATTTTTATTTAGA